GGGTTGGTCCCCCGGTTACGGCTTTGCACCTGCGTGAGGTGGCGTTGGCAGCACTCGGGGCTGAAACACGGGCAGCAGTGCCCTGGTCCTTCCGGCCTGAGGGACCAGAAGGAAGAGGCCTGGGCAGCGCGGCCCCACGCTCCGCGGGACTGCGTCACCCACAGGCACGGAAGGCTGCGAGGGGCCCAGCCGAGGACCAGAGAGCTGCGCTGCCGTTGACCCCGGCAGCCTGGACGTCAGAGGGGCCAGCGTCTTCAGTCTGAGTCCAGCCAGGTCCACTGCCGGCCACACAGACAGCAGCACGTCCTCCTGGGGGACCAGTCACGGCTTTCCGGGGAAGGAGAACAGGGAGTAAAGTCCTCACAACACAGCAATGGCCATGTCCAGGGTACAGCAGAGAAGTCCCCGGCATGCGGGAGACAGGAACCAAGGCCTTCCTGGAGGGGAGGGGCTCTCGAGACGACGCGGTGTCCAAGGTGTGAGGAGGTGGGCGCCGGGCGCTGCCCTAGGAAATGGCCCGTGCAGTTCTAACTTCCCTCTGGCATGGGTCGCCGCCACGGCCATGGCCACGGCCACATGCGCTCACTGGGCTGTGATGCAGCCCAGCGGGTGGGGGCGCTTGGCGGACACCGCGCAGGTGGGAGCATTTGACCCAGAGTGTTCAGCCTCCAAAACATGAGCTAAATACGCTGCTTTAAAAACAAAACAAAGCAAACAAACAAAAAAAAAACAGACATTTTGCTATAGCAGTGAAAACGGACTCAGACCGGCACCCCACAGAGATCCAGGGCTGACACGTGGGTGTGTGGAATGAAGACTTCACCAGGTGCCTGGACCGAGAAGGAAAACGGCAGGAAGCAGCCAGTGAGCGCGGAGAGAGACCACAGGTGCACCCAAAGAAGGCTGTGCCTCAGGTCGTGCGGCGCAGCCCCCAAAGGCCCGCGTGGGTGTGCCTGAAATCACGGAACGTGATGCTTCCGTGGCTGAAACTTCCGAATACGCGGACCTGGAATGTGGACTGAGGACGGCAGGAAGTCCGAGCAGGACGCACACAGGAGACGTCGTACGCGAAGCTCCGCAGGGCTGAGCGCCGGGAGAGGTCTCAAATGCAGAGAGCGGAGAGCGCCAGGTTGCCCACGGGGAGCCGCGGGGGAGCCGCGAGGGAGCCCCGCTGAGCGCGCACCGAGGTGGTGCCAGGAGCAGAGCCATCCCGCCTGGAACCGCGTGTGCAGCCAAAGCTGGAGGTGGCAGATGAAACAGAACCCGGGGTCGCCAGGCAGGCAGGGCTGAAGGGGGGCTCCAGCTGAGTGGACTGGTCACCGGGAGAAGAACTCAGGAGCTGTGGAGGTCTGGCTACAAAAGGCACAGCTGGGCCCTGCCGGGAAGTGGGTTAAGCTTCTGGGATGCCTGCATCGCAGTCTGAGTCCGGGCCGTTCCACTTGCGGTCCAGCTCCCTTTCCAGCTTGCCTGGAAGGCGGCAGGTGATGGCCTAAACGCCTGGGTCCCTGCCACCCGTGTCGGAGACCCCGGTGGAGTTCCTGGCTCCTGGGTTGGCCTGGCCCAGCCCCAGCTGTTGTGGGCATTTGGGGAGTGAACCAGCAGATGGAAGGTCGCCCTCTCCATCTCTGTTACTTTTCCTTTCAAATAAATGTATGTTTCAGAAGGATTTATTTATTTATTTGGAAGCCAGGTCACAGAGACAGAAGCAGATACAGAGAGGGGTCATCCATCTGCTGGTTCACTCCCCAGATGGCCACGACTGAGGCTGGGCCAGGCTGACGCCAGGAGTCAGGAGCTGCTTCTGGGTCTCCCACGTGGGTGCAGGGGCCCAAGGACCTGGGCCATCTTCTACTGCTTTCCCAGGTCACAGCAGAGAGCTGGATCAGAAGTGGAGCAGCCAGGACTCAAATTGGTGCCCAAATGGGATGCCAGTGTTTTACCCACTACTCCACGGCGCTGGCCTCTAAGAAAATTTTTAAATGTAAATACAAAAGGCTACCTTTTTCTTAGTTTGAAAATGCATAGGAACATTTGAAGCAAAAGTAACAGCATCGCTTTGTGGGGTTACACTTCGTGGAGATGTGATACGACGTGTGACGTGGGGGTGAGGGCCGGGCCCCGTGTGGCTGCAGGGCTCACACGTGCTGTGGGACACGGCTCGGTGCCAGCTCTGAGCGCTCTGTGACAGAGTGGGTGCTGTCCTTAGAGGACCCACCCGCCAGCGCTGCCAGTTGGCCGGGTTACAAGCACGACTCGGGCTTAGGAGGCGGAGGACTGGGCTCTCCCAGGATGCTTTGCGGCAGCCGGACTTAGAGCAAAATGAGTCCTCGCACGACTCAGGTTGCCGGGCAGCCGCTTGGGGCACAGTTCCTCCCCGGGCCAGGCCAGCAGTGACGCTGCGAGGCTTCGCTTTCTGAGGGAGACGGCTCCTGGGAGGCACCGAGGGCAGCGGCTCCGACGGTGACGCCTGCGGAGATCTGTTTGGTAAATGCTGCGGATCGCCTGGTGGCGTCCTGTGACTTGCCTGCAAGGGCTGTGATAAATCGAGTTGATTTCCTGCCGTGTTCATCTCAGAGACGGGAAGGCACGTCGGAGGCGGGGGTGTGCACGGAGCGCGGCGCGCCTCTCCCGGCACAGCACCGGCTGCGTTCTGGGGCCTCTGCGGTGCTCCGGGCCCGCTGGGCATTGCACACGTGCAGCCGCGGGACGGGCTGCTTACGGCTCAGCCTCCCCAGGGTGCTTCTCAAACCCCCGGGCTGGCAAACATTCGCCCACAGACATTGCCTTACCACCATTACATATGTTTTTATGAAGGGACTAAGCGGGAGGAATTTGCAATGAATAATTCATGTGTAATTGTTTTCAAAACACACAGTTATTTTTCAAAGCAAGCAGCCCATCTCTCCGTTTCAGAGTTGCACGGCTGCCCCGGCTGCTTCCACGTGGGCCACGGCGCATGCTCTGAACACTGGGGCTGGGGTGGGCTCCTCCACAGAGCCGGGCGGGGGTGTGTGGCGACGGCTCGCTGCTTGCCAAGGCTGCAGGCCGCTGCCCCCAGGCCCCGTGCAAGACCCCGGCACCTGCACCCCTTCCCTGTCCACTCAGCTTCTGGCCCCACACCAAGCACAGGGCGGCCCCTTTTCTGGCCAGGCGGGGCCAGGCCCAGCCGGACACAGAAAGCCAGGCGGAGCCGTGCTGTGTTCATAGTTTACTCCGTACGTCGACAGGGAGGGTCAGAACCAGCCATGATGACAGCTCCCTGGGTCCTCTTCCCACACACCAAGAGGAACGGCCCAAAACCAGAGGGCTGGCGGCCGCGCTGCCGTCTCAGGCCACCCTGTTGCCGAGAGCCAGGTGTGGCCTGCAGCCGGGAGGGGTCGTGCTCTGTGGCTCCCACCTCAGCAGAACCCAGGCAGCTGGGAGCCGCTGTCCCGACAGCCTCCTGGCGGTGGGGAAAGGCCCCAGGGCAGCCCCTAGGGGCCCCCTCCCTCTCCTGCTCGGGGGTCACCAGCCGTGTGTCGGCCTTTGCCTGTGCGGGTCTGTGTGGCTGCCTGTGGGAACGCCAGGGCTGGGTGGCAGAGCCATCGCCAGCTTCCTGCTGTGCCGTCCCCTGTGCGTTTCTGCCTCCCCCATCTCTGCTCCCGCCACTGGGGGACTGCCCAGAACTGGTTCTGAACTGGGCCTGTGGCTTCCCACTCGCGGGGCGGGGCGAGTCCCAGACTCCCTGTGCTCCCGGCTTCTAGCTGGGCTTGGCAGGGGCGCCCTCCTCAGGGCTGACGCTGAGGACTGAGCGTCACTTCACGGTGCCTGGCCCCCTGTGCGTGGGGGTGGCGGCTGAGGACTGAGCGTCACTTCACGGTGCCTGGCCCCCTGTGCGTCCAGGGTGGCGGCTGAGGACTGAGCGTGGCTTACGCAGTGCCTGGCCCCCTGTGCGTGGGGGTGGCGGCTGAGGACTAAGCGTCACTTCACGGTGCCTGGCCCCCTGTGCATCCAGGGTGGCGGCTGAGGACTGAGCGTCACTTATGCGGTGCCTGGCCCCCTGTGCGTCCTGGGCACCGCTGTCCCTGGGCCCTGTCGCGTCTCTGGCTCCCCGTGACGTCATCTGTGGGCCCCGAGGCCTCTGCTGCAGCTGGCGTGTGGGATGAGCTGGTCCACCGAGGGTCCATGTGCTGGGGCTTGGTGCTCAGTGTGGTGACATGGGCGGGGGTGGCGCCGGGGCAGGTCGTCGCCCCAGTCCTGCTCCCGCTGCCTCCCTGGCGGTGGCATCTCTCCCTCTCACATACCGCGGAACTGTGCACCGTGACAGCTCCGGAACCGTGAGCCGAGCCATTCTCCCCGCACAGTCACCCAGCCCCAGGCGTTTGCTCCTGGTAGCAGGGAGCAGACTCGTGTACCTGTGCCTCTGTTCCGGGGGCGGGGCCCGTCCGACAGACACCTCCAGCTGGGGTCCCACGCCCTCTCCTGGAGGAGCTGTGCCCTCCCTAGCAGTGGGGAGCCACAGAGGTGGGGTCTCCCGCCCGCCTGTGACCTCCCTGGCGCCCCTTCTGGGAGCGGCTCCCCTCCTTCACGGACGGTCCAGCCCGTCGTGTGCTAGCCCAGCGCCGGCAGCGTTCACGGCACGGGAACCTGGGTTTCTCGACAGCGCGCTACAGTGGAGCGGGAGCCACTTCCCCACCCAAAACACACAGTGGCTTCCGCTGCTGGCCCCTACGGGGGCTCCGTGACCGCCGCAGGCAGCCCCCTCCCGAGTGCCTTGCCTTGTTTTGTTTGTGTCTCCTTGGAGACTTGCAAATGTGAATCTAACCTACACCGCAGCGACGACAAGCTGTGCCTCGGGCCCCGCGGCCTCTGGAGAGTGCCACGCGGACGCCAGCCTCGCGCCAGGGCCCGGGGACACAGGAAACCCTGCCGCACCCGCAGCAGCCGTCACGGGCCACGGCGGAGAGCAGGCCGGCAGCGACTCGGGGGCCGACCTCACTCCAGGCCCTCTGGCTCGCCAGGTCCTGGAAGACAGCGGGATGCCCATGACCGACAGCCAGTACGCTCTGCTGGCCGCAAAGATAGGCTACAGGGACGACGGGATGAGTTACCTGGACTTCACCGCAGGATTCGAAGGTAGCGTGGGCCGAGCGTGCGCCCGTGGGGCTGTGTCCTGGGGGTGCCAGGAGGCTGCCAGCCTGGCAGTGGCTGAAGCAGCCTGGGTTCTGGGACCACAAGCAGACAAATTTAATTTTTATTTAATTTTAAATAATTGTATCTGTTTAATTTCCTCTTCTGCGTTTCTGCGCCCTCTTGTCCCTAAGTTAAATGGCGCAGGGAGTGGGCAACTTTGCCCAGCTCAGGCTTGGGGCACGAGCGGCTCTGAAACCAGCCTGGTTCTCGCCTCGCACCTCGTGCGCACTCAGGTTTCCTCCCAGAGAGGAGACGCCGCGTCCCTGCGATTAGATCCTGTACAGGCAAGGTGCTGGCGCCCCTCCTCGGCCGGTTCTCCACGATTCAGGAAACGCGTCCTGTTCCCTGCGTCCCGGGCAGGAGCTGGCCGCTGCTGACGGCCACGTGCACTTCCCCTGCCCTCTGTGTAGACGGAAGCCACCCGGTCCCCCCAGCCAACAGCACCCCCACCTTGTCTGCCTTCCCTGATGCTGCCCCGGTGGACAAACAGGCCGTCTAAGAGCCACAGGATGTACACGGGTACCCCCGTGGCCTGCAGACCCCTGGGGTCACTGAGCCAGGGTCCCTCCCACCCTGCCAGGCCCTCCGCTGTCAGCTGTAACCAGAGGCCCCTCGCCCATGGCACAAGGCGGCACAGAGCTGCGGCGTGTTAGAATCCTCACGCTTTTCCCTGGGTACGTGTGGTGACGCTTTCGATGGAAACAGAAAGAAGGCAAAGGGACGTGGGTGTTGTCTCAGCGGCACCGTCACTGTGCCCGGTGTGTCCCTTTGTCCGGGGAGGCAGGGGCCTTGGAGCCAGCGAGTCAGGTACCGCCCAGCACCCACCCGGCCCCTTGGCCGCCCTGCTGCCCCTGCCCTGTCTCTCGCTGACCCTCTCAGCAGCCTGGCCCTCCTCTGGCAGCCCCCAAGCAAGGGGAGGGGGAGTGGGGCTCCAGGGGTCCCCTGCCAGGTGTGACCAGCCCCCCCATGGGGGGAGGGGTTGGAGGATGCACCTGTGCCATGACACCCTGCAGGGAGGGCACAGCCAGGTCGTGGGGGCGGGTAGCCTGGTCTGCGGCAAGGCCCAGCCTGGCGGGAGGGGGTGGTTTGGAGTGGGGGCTACAGGTCCTTGGCTGGAGGGGAGGGGGCTGCAGGCAGCTGTGTGTCGGCTGGGGAGTCTGCGGGGGGGGGCAGGGTAGGCTGTGCTGTCCTGAGCCTCACCTCCCAGGGAGGCTGGGGCCTGGGACCCCCTGTGTCCTCTGTGGACAGAGCACGGTGATTGCCTTGTGGACAAGGTGTGAGAACCTGCGTGGGTGTGTTGGGAGGTTGGAGACCTGTGTGAAGGCGGCAGTGGGGTCTCAGGGAGTGGCCCTTCCATCTGGGGAAGCAGAGAGGGGCACGGGGGCAGGAGGTGAGAAAACAGAGCCCCCTAGGGGCAGCAAGGGCCCACCCCCCAGGGCTGGAGAACCGGGTGGGCTCAGCAGGTCTGGGGAGGGAAGCGAGGAGCTGGCGCTGACGGCCGGCATCTGGGACCCTTTCAGGTGCTGCCATGAGCGGGCAGGAAGCGCCTCTTCCTCAGACCCCTGCCCCCGCCCCCGCCCCCGCCCCCGCCCCCGCCCAGAGTCACCCCTGCAGCCACTTCGTCACCGCGGAGGAGTGCCTGCAGCTGCTCCCCAGGAGGCTGGCCGAGTCCTTCCGGGTAAGCTGTGACCGTCGGGGCGGCCCGCCGTGGGCCTGGGTCCTACTGCCCAGGGGACGGACGAAGACCCAGCGCGGGCCAGAGCCGGGCGCTTGCTGGGCAGCCCTCCCTGAGGCCCCCGCCCCCCCTGCTGGGAGGGGAGTGAGGGGACACTCCTCACAGGCGTGGCCGGGCTGTCCTTCCCATCCCGCTCACTCACTCGGCCTTTGCTGGGCTCCCTCTAAGTGCCGCGTGAGAGGTGTCCCCCGGAAGCCGGCTCTCAGCCGAGGCACAGGTGGCAAACAGCTTGTGCCCTCTGACCAGTGTGCAGGGAGCTGAGGTGGGCCACAGGGCCACAGGGGCAAGTCTTCATGGAGGACTTCCCGAAGGAGGTGGGCCCCACACTCAGTGTCGGGCCTGAGGTGTGTGCGGGCCAGAAAAGGAGGGAGCGAGCCGGGGACGAGGCCGCCTGAGCCAGGCGGGTGGCAGACGGTTCAGGCTCCCGGCACACCCAGGCCCGCTGTGGCGGCACGGCCTGTGCAGGCCGTGACGGGTGAAGTGGAGGAAGGAGACGGTAGCCTCTCGGGTGTGGACCAAGGTCAGACCTCAGCTGTCTGTGCTGGGATTCAGTGTAGCAGGCCAGTAGGCCGAGCCCCGTGGTGGCGGAAGAGGGAGGGGCATCCTGTCCCAGCCCAGGGCGTGGGGGGAGCGCAGGCCAGAGGGCAGGAGGCCTGGTCAGAGCCAGACCCCATTGAGGGTCTCCCCGTGCCGTCGCAGCCCTCATCTTCGTGTTTCTGTGTTCTAAAAGTTTATTTACTCATTTGGCAGAGTTACAGGGTGGGGGGAGGGAGGAGGAGAGACAGATCTTCCATCCACTGGTCCACACCCGAGGGGCTACAATGGCCAGGGCAGAGCCAGGAGCCTGGAACTGCGTTCAGGGCTCCACACGGGTGCAGGGCCCAGGCACCTGTCGGTCCTCGGTCAGGCGCTGACCAACGCTGGGGGAGCCCCTCGTCACGCTCTCGCTGCCCAGGTCAGAGACCCTGCTGGCTGGGAGGACTTGAGGGAGGGTCTCCCCTGGCCATGGGGGGGTGGTGGGGACGGTCACCCTGTGAGCTGGAGACGCGACCCGGGATGGAGGCGCCGTCCAGGAGGCTCGGCTGGACGCCCGGCTGGGACGGCCCCCGTGCACCCTTGCGCCCTGGACAGCGTCTCCCAGCTCCAAGCCGTGTCCGTGTGTTTGCAGCGCACCCCCAGGCCAGTGCTCGCCAACTCCCCGCAGCCCCTCCCCGGCTCCTGGCCTCACGGGGCGGCCATGTCAGCCCGAGGCTCTGGTCAGGCACCCCTTGGCTGTTTGGCTCAGCCCTGCCCTGCCTGCCAGGCCCTGCACCCACGTGTGGTGTGGGCCACCCCCAGCGGGCTCAGGACCCCTCCCCTCCCCACTGCACGCCACACCCCGCTCTGCGGGCCTCTGTGCCTCTGGGCACCCCTTCCCCTTTGACCAGCCCCTGCCCACCCAGGCTTCCTTCTAGACGCTTCCGGTGCGCCTGGGGAGAGCCGCGGCCCCACAGCACCCGCTCTGCGTGCATTATGACTCAGCGCCTGCAGCACCCACACAGGGAGCCCAGCGGCTGCCGTGGTGCCAGCCCCGCGGGAGGGTCTGGTGCTTGTTTGTGGAGGGAGACCCCTTGCTACACGCCAGGCAGTGACCTGCGGGGGTCTCACAGGGGGGCTTCATGCTGCTCGTGACTGCCCTGCCAGGTGGCCGTCGGCATTCCTGTCCTATAGCTGGCAGAGCCGAGGGTCCCCGATGGGAGAAACTTCCCCAAAGCCACACATGCAGACAACGTCCCGTCCCGAATCTAGGAGACGGAGCAGTATCTGTCCGCAAAGTCCGCGGGCCGCCCCCGCAGCAGGCGTCGCCCTCTGGGGAGCCGAGGGCTGGCAGCGAGGGATGCCGAGAGCCGGTACACCTGAACGTGGTGACTCCACACCATCGACACAGGCCCGCGTGCCCAGGTGGCCCCCCGGCCCGGCTGCCTTCCCTGGCAGACTGCGGACCGTGATGCCGGGGCTCCTGGGGCCCCGCGGAGCGCCAGGAGGGGTGTCAGGTGCCCCGGAGACATGCTGCCCCTCAGTGTCTGCATCAGTGGCCACGACATTGAGCGCTGTCCCGGGAGCCGGGGCTGTAGTGGGAGTGGACGGAGCCCGGCCTCAGGCTGCCGGGGGGGGGGGGGGCGCCGACAGGGAGCACACACCCGCAGCAGAGCGGGTGGAGGCCGGCAGCCCGTGCTGGCTGGTGCCGCTGCCCGGCTGGGTCAGGAGCGGCCTCTCTGCAGAGGGGACGTCCAGGCAGGGAGGCCAGGGAGGAAAGCGAGGCTCTGGGCAGACCCCACGGGAGAGAGTGGCAGGGGTGCTGGAGGCGGTCCATCCTGCCCAGAGAATGGCGAGGAGCTGCCGAGTGGGGAGTGGGGCCCAGAGAGCCGGGAGCCCACGCTGGGGCAGGGGAGCTGTGAGAGCTGGGGACGCGGCCACAGCTGGGAGGCAGGAGTTCCGGACTTTGGGCCAAGCCGCAGGCGGTGGAGTGGGGAGAAGGGCTCTGATTCCCAGTGCACTCTGCAGGGGGAGCCCGGGGTGAGAGGACAGAGGGGTGAGGTCAGCATTGGGAAGAGCTGGGGGGCGGGGCCTGGAGTCTGGGTTGTGAGGAAACTGGCCCCACACCTGTGGACCTGTGAGGCTGGAGGGAGGAGGGGCCTGGGTTGGTGATGGAGGGGAACCCTGGGCTCGAGGGAAGTTCCCCCTGCAGGTGGCCCCCAGCCAGGTACCTGCCCCCGCTCCTCCACCCCTGCTGGAAAGGGTGGCCTTCTTACAGCGCCCCCTCCCCAACCCCATCCCTGCCAGGGTGTTCAGCACAGAGCTGGCACGCGTGTCGCCTGTGCGATGTTTGCTGACTGAATGAGTGAGCGACCCCAGACTCCTGAGTCATTTGCACTGGGCACGGCAGGCCCTGCTGCGGGTTGTAAATAGCTGTTAGAGCGGAACCTCTCGGTGAGGGCTCAAGTAGCCAGCTGCACCGGTGAGGGCCGCCCCGGCGCCCAGGGGAAGGGGACGGAGGGGCTATGGCCGCGGCAGCAGCTTTTGAGTTTGAGGTCCGGGAAGCACACACAGGGGACGTGGGCCGGGGGCTGGGCGCAGCCTGGCATTGGTGGGGGCACGCGGCGTGGCCCGTGTGAGCATCGCCGCCCCCTGCCGCAGCCCACTGGAGCAGGGCTTCCCAGTTCCCGTTGCACAGATGGGAAGGTGGGCACGGCCAGCATCGACGCCTGGCCTGGGGGCTTCCTGCCTGTGACGGAGCTGCGGTTCACGTCTAAGCAGCCGGGGCGGAGCGTCCCCCAGCCGGGCCTCCACCTTCTCTGTGAAATGAGAGCCCTGTGTCCCCGCGCTGCTGCGTGGTGCACAGAGCAGAGGGGCGGGCACCGTCCAGAGAGGCGGCAGGGCGGTGTGAGACCCGGCGGGAGTCCTGGCCGGGGCGGGGGACGTGGTCTCGCAGCCCCTGGCCTGCAGGCCGAGGTGGCCCTGCCCGAGGACAGCCTCAGACACACGGGGACCGCGGGTTTCTGTGCACCAGCGAGCGCCGGGCTCGGAGACGGGGCGGCCTTGGACGCGTGCGTTTTGTTGCCAGGACCCCTACTCTGCCTTCTTCAAGATGGACACGGACAGGGACGGCATAGTCAGCATGCGTGACCTGCACGGGCTGCTGCTGCACCTCTTCAGCCTCAGGGACGAGGAGTTCGAGCGCCTCCTGGGCCTGCTCGGCCTGCGACTCAGCGTCACTCTGAACTTCCGGGAGTTCCGGAGTCTGTTTGAGCAGAGTCCTCCGGGCGCGGACGAGGCGCCCCAGAGGGTGGTCAGGTGAGCGGGGGCCGGAGCAGCGGGCGGCGGGGCGAGGGGCGGGGCGAGGGGCGCGGCCCCGCCTGGCGCCGCGCGCACAGTCTCCACGCACGCACACGCACACGCACGCAGGCTCTTCAGAGCCCGGAAATGCACGTCGTGACCACAGCACGCGTGGATCTTTAAACACCGCACTAACGCAGCCATCTTTGAATTCCGTTTCTCCATGAACTTCCACGCGTGCCCTCGTCTGCTACCCTGGGGTCAAGTGCACCGGCTTTTATCTTAGCCTTTTACAGAGCTTCAGAGGCCTTGGAGCACACTGCCACTGTCTCAGGCTAGCCCCTCGTGCACTGTGCACCATCTCAGGCTAGCCCCTCGTGCACTGTGCACCGTCTCGGGCTAGCCCCTCGTGCACTGTGCACCATCTCAGGCTAGCCCCTCGTGTACTGTGCAACATCTCAGGCTAGCCCCTCGTGCACTGTGCACCGTCTCGGGCTAGCCCCTCGTGCACTGTGCACCATCTCAGGCTAGCCCCTCGTGTACTGTGCAACATCTCAGGCTAGCCCCTCGTGCACTGTGCACCGTCTCGGGCTAGCCCCTCGTGCACTGTGCACCATCTCAGGCTAGCCCCTCGTGCACTGTCGCTCCCCCTCTTCATGGAGGAACGACACTAAGCCCTGCCTAGGCTTCCTATCCGAGTCACGGCACCATTATGTCGCTCCCCGTCTTCGTGGAGGAACGACACAGGACCCTGCGCTGTTCTTTTGTCTGCTCGGCCCTCCCCGGGTTTGCTGCTGGTTCTTCCCGGGTTGGCTACCGTCCCTTCCACCTCCGTGGAAGGGCAGTTCCCCCTAACCACTTTCCCCACTTCCGCGGGGGAGCGGCACACCGCCGGCCGGCTCTCTCGGGGGCTGCTCAGATGTTATCCGGATGTTCCTGGTGCATGTTGTCTCTCTCCTCCTTTATAGTCCTCTTCCGCCAATCCCAACTCTGCTACCCACACGCCGAGTACGCTGCTCTCCTCCAATCAGGAGCAGGTCCTACAGTTCATTGGTTGAACTGGAGGCAGCTGTGTAAAAGCTGTTTTCTTCTCTCCCAGCGCCATATTGTGGGAGAGCAGATGCATAGAATAAGTCTTAATTCCAGTAACTTAGTCTAGTCTCAGTTGCTCCCAGTTGCTCCCCACAGTGCACTGTGCACCATCTCAGGCTAGCCCCTCGTGCACTGTGCACTGTCTCAGGCTAGCCCCTCGTGTACTGTGCACCATCTCAGGCTAGCCCCTCGTGCACTGTGCACCATCTCAGGCTAGCCCCTCCTGTGCCATGCACCATCTCGGGCTGGCCTCTCATGCACTGTGCACGGTGCACTGTCTCGGGCTGGTCAGTCAGGTGCCCGAGAGACCCCTGGACTCTGACACGTGTGAATGACGGAGCCAGTGACTCCCCCGGCCAGTTGTTAAAATGTGGGTGCATTTGGACAGTTACCTTTCAGCAGGGTAACACAACATAACCCTCACCCTGCTGTTTTGCCCCAGGGGCTCCAAGTGAGTACCCTCCCCCTGCCCCACACTGGGCTAGGGCAGCTCCCTGGAGAGAGGGGCCCCAAATGCCTACACCAGCTGAGCCACGTTGAACCCAGGATCCAGTCATTGCCATCTGGGTCTCCCACGTGGTGACCAGGGCCCAAATTTACGCTTCCTTCCAGGGTGCAGAAGCTGCCAGGCATGTGGGGGACCTGAGGATGGGATCCCTGAGCCTCCCACTGTCCCTGACCCCTCCCACTGTCCCTGATCCTTCCCACTGTCCCTGACCCTTCCCACTGTCCCTGACCCCTCCCACTGTCCCTGACCCTTCCCACTGCTCCCTGACCCCTCCCACTGTCCCTGACCCTTCCCACTGTCCCCTGACCCCTCCCACTGTCCCTGACCCTTCCCACTTCTCCCTGACCCTTCCCACTGTCCCTTGACCCTTCCCACTGTCCCTGACCCTTCCCACTGCTCCCTGACCCTTCCCACTGTCCCTTGACCCCTCCCACTGTCCCTGACCCTTCCCACTGCCCCCTGATCCTTCCCACTGTCCCTGACACTTCCCACTGTCCCTGACCCCTCCCACTTCTCCCTGAGCCTTCCCACTGCCCCCTGACCCCTCCCACTGCCCCCTGACCCTTCCCACTGTCCCTGGCCCTTCCCACTGTCCCTGACCCCTCCCACTGCCCCCTGACCCCTCCCACTGCTCCCTGACCCTTCCCACTGTCCCTGGCCCTTCCCACTGTCCCTGACCCCTCCCACTGCCCCCTGACTCTTCCCACTGTCCCTGGCCCTTCCCACTGCTCCCTGACCCTTCCCACTGTCCCCTGACCCCTCCCACTGCTCCCTGACACTTCCCACTGTCCCTGACCCTTCCCACTGCTCCCTGAGCCTTCCCACTGCCCCCTGACCCTTCCCACTGTCCCTGACCCTTCCCACTGTCCCCTGACCCTTCCCACTGTCCCCTGGCCCCTCCCACTGTCCCTGACCCCTCCCACTGTCCCCTGACCCCTCCCACTGTCCCCTCACCCTTCCCACTGTCCCCTGACCCCTCCCACTGTCCCCTGACCCCTCCCACTGTGAAAAACCCCGGATGTCTGCAGTCTGGGCATCCAGAAGCTGTTGCAATGGTGGAACCGCTGTTGGGACATCCCAGCATGCCTTGCAGCCTGCAGAGTTCCCCACGTGGCTCAGAGGAGTTGCTGCCCGGGCAGGGGATCTTCCTCTCTGTCCCCTGGCTCTGCGGACATGCAGTTTTCTTCTGGAAGTATCTGATGGATTCACCCCTGAAATCGTCAAGCCCTGGACTGTCCTTGTGGAAGATGTTTAAACCCAGCCGTGCGACAGTTACGTGACCATAGGGGGTTTCCACTTTCTGTGGCCATTCGTGTCTCTGGAGACGCTGGTCCATTTCATCTCCATTGTCAAAGTAATGGGCATAATAATTCCCTTGTTATTTTTTGAGTATCTGTGGGGTGTCTGGAGGTCTCTTTCCTGCCATTTCTGATAGTGGCAACTAGTGTCTTCTCTCCTATTTTTATTGATCAGTTTAAAGTTTATCAATTCTATTGATCTTTTTAACACAACAATTTTTTGTATGATTTTTCTTTACTTTGATAACTTCAATATCTGTGGTTTCTAATCTTTGTTACTTTCTTCTTTCAGAATGTTTTGAGTTCAGTTTTCTATTTCCACAGCCGGGAAACTCGGATTCTTTAGGTAATTCTTTCTCACATGAAGCCCTAAGGCTGTGAACTTCTCTCTACATGCTGTTTTACCTGCATTCTCTCGTTTCCGCATATTGACAGTTTTTATTTCATCCATTCAAAAATACTTTCCAGTTTCCCTGTGACTTCCTCTTAGGTCCACAGATTGTTTAGAAGTATGTTGTTGAGTTTTCAAATATTTGCATAGTTCCCAAATGTCTCTGTGTGACTGATTTGTATTTTCGTTGTTAAGGGGCAGGCAGATGCTTTGTGTGGCTTTAATTCTCTTAAGTTTATTGAGGGCTGTTTAATGACCCCAGGTGTTATCTGTGTGGGTAAATAGCCTGTCCATACTGGGGCAGAGCAAGCGTTCCGCAGGTGTGGGCCGTGGGTGGCAGGTGGGGAGGGAGCCCCGGGGCCCTGCAGGGAGGGTCACCACAGGTGTGGGCCGTGGGTGGCAGGTGGGGAGGGGGCCCCAGGGCGCTGCAGGGAGGGTACCACAGGTGTGGGCCGTGGGTGGCAGGTGGGGAGGGGGCCCCGGGGCCCTGCAGGGAGGGTCACCACAGGTGTGGGCCGTGGGTGGCAGGTGGGGAGGGGGCCCCGGGGCCCTGCAGGGAGGGTACCACAGGTGTGGGATGTGAGTGGGAGGTGGGGAGGGGGCCCCGGGGCCCTGCAGGGAGGGTCACCACAGGTGTGGGCCGTGGGTGGCAGGTGGGGAGGGGGCCCGGGGCCCTGCAGGGAGAGTCACCACAGGTGTGGGCCGTGGGTGGCAGGTGGGGAGGGGGCCCGGGGCCCTGCAGGGAGGGTCACCACAGGTGTGGGATGTGAGTGGGAGGTGGGGAGGGGGCCCGGGGCCCTGCAGGGAGGGTCACCACAGGTGTGGGATGTGAGTAGGAGGTGGGGAGGGGGCCCAGGGCCCTGCAGGGAGGGTACCACAGGTGTGGGATGTGAGTGGGAGGTGGGGAGGGGGCCCCGGGGCCCTGCAGGGAGGGTCACCACAGGTGTGGGATGTGAGTGGGAGGTGGGGAGGGGGGCCGGGGCCCTGCAGGGAGGGTCACCACAGGTGTGGGATGTGAGTGGGAGGTGGGGAGGGGGCCCCGGGGCCCTGCAGGGAGGGTACCACAGGTGTGGGATGTGGGTGGCAGGTGGGGAGGGGGCCCGGGACCCTGCAGGGAGGGTCACCACAGGTGTGGGCCGTGGGTGGCAGGTGGGGAGGGTGCCCGGGGCCCTTCAGGGAGGGTACCACAGGTGTGGGCCATGGGTGGCAGGTGGGGAGGGTGCCCGGGGCCCCGCAGGGAGGGTACCACAGGTGTGGGATGTGGGTGGCAGGTGGGGAGGGGGCCCCAGGGCCCTGCAGGGAGGGTACCACAGGTGTGGGATGTGAGTGGGAGGTGTGGAGGGGGCCCCCGGGGCCCTGCAGGGAGGGTACCACAGGTGTGGGCCGTGGGTGGCAGGTGGGGAGGGTGCCCGGGGCCCCGCAGGGAGGGTACCACAGGTGTGGGATGTGGGTGGCAGGTGGGGAGGGGGCCCCAGGGCCCTGCAGGGAGGGTACCACAGGTGTGGGATGTGAGTGGGAGGTGTGGAGGGGGCCCCCGGGGCCCTGCAGGGAGGGTACCACAGGTGTGGGCCGTGGGTGGCAGGTGGGGAGGGGGCCCCGGGGCCCTGCAGGGAGGGTACCACAGGTGTGGGATGTGGGTGGGAGGTGGGGAGGGGGCCCGGGGCCCTGCAGGGAGGGTACCACAGGTGTGGGCCGTGGGTGGCAGGTGGGGAGGGGGCCCCGGGGCCCTGCAGGGAGGGTACCACAGGTGTGGGCCATGGGTGGCACGTGGGGAGGGGGCCCCGGGGCCCTGCAGGGAGGGTCACCATAGGTGTGGGATTTGAGTGGCAGGTGGGGAGGGGGCCCCGGGCCCTTCAGGGAGGGTACCACAGGTGTGGGATGTGAGTGGGAGGTGGGGAGGGGGCCCGGGGCCCTGCAGGGAGGGTCACCACAGGTGTGGGATATGGGTGGCAGGTGGGGAGGGGCCCTGTGCTCTGCTGACGTCAGTGCTGCTCAGGTCTTCTTGCTTGTTGCTGCTTTTCTGTCTTCTTGTTCCATCCCTGAGCCAGGGAGGGAGCACTGACGTCTCCCAGCAATGGTTCCGGGGCTGCGCATCTCCTCTTCTGTCGATGTTTGCTTCAGGAACCTGGAAACTCTGAGAAGGGGAGTGCCATAGCCATACAGGCGTTTACGGTCTGCCGCTGTCTCAGAAGTTCCGAGTTCCCTGCTGAAGTCCCCCGTCCCCTGCAGAACGCCCTCTCGTGTGTCTGGGAGCAGGTCTGCCGGGGCCGATCCTACTCTTCCCTCTTCAGAATCTTCCCCACTCCGCTCCTGAAAGGGGTTTGCCGAGTTGACGGTTCTGTTGTTTCACCACCTGACCAGCAGTGTTCCATCGTCCGGCAGCCTCCATAGTCTGCTGTGAGAAGTCTGTAGTCATCCAGAATTTGTTAAAAATCCAAAGTGTGTGGGAAGGTAGCCTTTTTCTTAGGTTACTTTCAAGTTGTTGTGTTTTTTTCCTCTATCTTTGGTTCTCAGCACTTTGCCTATGCTGTGCCGAGCACGTTTGGCTGTTATTTTATCTCCTTTGGGGGGTTGCTGAACTAATTGAATCCATAAATTAACTGTCTTTCACCAGATTTGAGGCGTTTCCAGCTGTTATTTCTTAGACGTGTTTTCTGTGGCAGTATCAATCTCTTTTCCTTTTGGTGCCTCAAAGACATGAAGCTTAATCCTTCGGATTGTGTGGCAGCCTCTGAGGCCATGGGGTTTTCCTCCGTTCTTCCTCCGCTGCTCAGGTTGGACGATTTCTGTTCAGTTTGCAGGCTTTCTCCTCTGCCGTCTGCTCCGCCAGGAGCCGGCACAGCGACGTTTTTATTCCAGTTGTTGTACTTCCTTGGTTCTAAGGTTTCCACTGATTCTTTCCCTTCCTCCTCTCTTTTCTTCCTTTGACTCTTCCATTGTTTTTTGACTTTCTACTTCTTCAATGCTAATAGATACTTCAGAATCTGACCATTTTAATGTCCAGTTCACTTGGGAGTGCTGTCCTTTACCTTGATGGTTACTGAGCGTTTCCTTTTAGCTTGTGGTTCTTTATAGAATTCGGATCATACCTTGGACATTTAAAATATTGCATGAGGATGCACTGGTCCTGGTAAACTCATCTGCGGTGTGTTGAATTTTTGTTTTAGCAGCAGGCAAAGCAGTCCCATCAATTTCAGATTGCAAGTCCTGTCCTGCCTTCTGTGGGTTCAGTGTTAGCTTCCCAAGACATCGCAGCACTGTTTGGGGCAGCCCACGTGTGCCCCTCCACCCAGGGGCTGGTCCCAACTGCACAGTGGTCGTGTCCCCAGAGTCACTGCACTGTTCTGGGTTAATTCCACACAGGAGCAGTCCCAGGGAGGACCTGCAACTTCCGGCACAGATGTGGGACAGCCGCCAGCTCTCCGCCATTTCCCCCACACTGTCCGGCCCCCAGGTTTCCTGGTGCTCTGGTGGGAAACTCCTAGATCTCAAAACACCTGTTTGCCCTGCTGCGCATTTCTTGTGACTGGGCCTACCCCCAGGACCACAGAATGAGGGAAAAAAGAGATTTGAAGAATAATGTGAATGTGCCCCACATCCCTTGAATCCCAGGGGCTTCTTTGCCCGTTTCCTCTAGGCAGACACAGTTCCAGAGTCCTGCGTGTCTCCGTGGCACTGCTGAGCCTGGACCCCTGCAGAAGTGCCGTCTCATGTGGGGGATGCAGAGCAGAAGGAGGCCAAGAAGGGGCTCCCTGTGGCTAGCGGGTGGTCTGGAGTCTTTCTCTCCGTGTCTGCTGTCCCGTCCCACAGTTAGCGCTGTTCTTATCCAAGCTGGGTGTATAGGAGAAGCCTCCAGGAGTCCCACACCGGGCCATCTGGGAGTTCTGAGTCCCTCGGCCTCTCGTCACCTACTTCCTTAGCGTCCTCGGAGCAGCAGCTCCGTGTCCTGGGCACGGTTTCAGGTTGGAGTCGGGGGTTCCGTCCCGGCTGGGGCGAGGAGCACAGCTCAGGGGTCTCACGCAGCCTGCAGGGCTCTCTCCCTCACCCTCAGAGAGCCGCTTGACCGCAGGCAGGGGCCGCCCTCAGCAGACTCCCTCGTCTTCCGCGTGCTGACCTCAGTCCCGTGGCCGTGGCCTCAGCGTCGTGGTCGTGGATCCTGCAGAGTCCACAGCAGTGCAGCGCGCGTCACCTGTGTCTCTGGCTGACAGGGAGGCGGGGTCTTACTGTCAGAGAGCAAATGAGGTGGGGGTCTTACTGTCAGAGAGCAAAGGAGGCGGCCGATTCCCTAACAAGAGGAAGTGAGTAGCTATCGGAAGAGGCCGTGGACGAACCTTCCAGACAAGTGCATCAAGCCTCATGGCCTAGAGAGTGGATTGGGTTGCAGGGGCGGGGGCTGGATGAGGCGGCCAGTGGCAGTGCCCTGAGGTGGCACCGCCCCTCGGGGCTCCGTGCAGCGCTTTGGGGAGCTCCTGGTGCGTCCCCTGAGTTACAGGTAGGACTCAGGAGGGTCAAGGTGAGGCCAGGGACATACACGGCGTTAGGACCTGAAGTCCTTCTAAGAAAAAGCTGTGAAAAGGAAGCGTAGTCCGTCAGCCGCCCCTCCCTGGTGTGCAGTGGTGGGGGGGCCGGGCTGGTGCACTGGTCCCTTTCCTCTCTGGGAGTTCCAGGGTTCTGTGGAGTCCGGTAGGCAGTTGGAGAGGATGGCACAGAAAAGCAGGTGAGGCCAGGGTGCCCGTGGTGCAGCAGAGATTGTAGCTGGGGACACGCGGAGGGGTGGCGCCCGGGGAGGGGAAGGAGCCGGAGCCGACGGCGCCGAGTCGGGGCGGGCAGCCCAGTGAGCAGAGGCAGGCTCTGCCGGGCCGGGGGTGGGGGACATTCGAAGGGGCTTCACGCCGTTCTCACCCCCTGTTTGGTTTTCGGGGAGGAGAAATCTGGGGCACCACCAGTTCCTTCAGCCACAGGCCTCCTGTGGTCTCCCCGGGGGCTGTGAGCATGCAGCCTCCTTTAAGGTGTCCTTGGTGTCCAGCATCCTGTGAGGAGATAAAAAACAAATAGATGGACCCCACAGCCTCCCCTCGGAGAACGAGCTGAGATCTGCCATCCGCGTGGCCGCCTGCTGCCCGCGGCACCCTCACTCCGGCCCGCACGTTCAGAAATAAAAGTTTTGAGTCATTTTCTTCCAGAGATGTTAAAGTTATATCGTGGGTTCACTTTTTTTTCTTTCCTCCACCAAGAATAATTGAGTTCTGATATTTCATGTGCTGCAGGAAAAAAAAAACTGAATAGCGCTTATCTGAGAATAAACAAGGGCTTTCGGACTTTGCGAGGACTCCCCTGACACAGCTGGGAAGCAAGGCTGCGTTTCCAGAATTAAGCTGGGCCAGACGTGGGGGACCGGGCAGGGGTGCGGGAACCCCCGGGGAGATTAATGAGCCCGTCAGATGCAAACGCCGTCATTCATTTCTTTCTTTAAAGACTCAAACAGAGGGTCGCGGACTCAGATCTCGCCTGCGAGCAGGCTCATCAGTACCTTGTGACCAAAGCAAAGAACAGATGGGCAGACTTGTCCAAGGTAAGAACGCGGCCGCTTCCCTGGGGGAGGGAAGATCCGCCTCCGGGTCATGGGCCGCAGGATGAGCCACCTCCGGGTCGAGGGCCGCAGGATGAGCCGGTTGCGGAAGTCGGCGGCCGCCCGTGCCCTTAAAGACTCTCTCAGCCTAACTTCGCACTCACTCTCACGGTCCACTGGCGTTCAGGGAGGGAGTGGCTGTAGGAGGTGCGCGGACAGGGATTCCTGGCGTCACTTCAGGCCTGATCTGAACGGACAATTCCAGTGAGAACCGCGAGACGCCGCGTTGCGTGGTTGTACAGGGCTAGGCAGGTGCGCCCGGGAGAGCCAGGCCTCCCTGTCTGGCCGGAGTTGGAGGCCGACGCCCTCCCGGGGCAGTGGTGTGTCCGTGACTGTAATCCCAGAGCCACGGCGGCCGCTCTGCCTGCTGGGACTGCGGCCGTCCCGGGGTCTGGGCTCTCAGCTCACGTCCTGCGGCACAACAGGACCCCACGCCCTGTCAGCAGCACTTTCCCACCCGCCTCCCACGAGCCTTTCACTCTACCCCGTGAATTCCCCGGCCGCCTTTCCTTCCGCCATCTGCTCTCGCTCTCTGCCTGTTGCGGGCCCGTGTGTGTGTGTGGTGCGATGCCATCTCTCTCTCTCTCTCTCTCTCTGCCCTGAGAAGCCCCCGGGGCTGCCTCCATTCTGGCCACTGCCCTCCATGGAGTGACTGTGCTGGCCCAGGCCGGCCGATCCCATGGGCTGAAGCCCGCCTGCCCCGCGGGTGAGGAGTGGGGGGCAGGAGGGTACCCCATGTGCCCGAGCTGGGGCAGAGAGCGGGAAGCAGTGTGGGTGCCACCTTCCCTGCCTCACTGGCTGCTGAAAGAGCCCCCTGCTCTGCAGGCAGCCCCTCCTCTCACCTGCACCCCCCCCAGGGGACCGCACCCCCCTGCCCACTGCACTGCTCCTGGCCTCCCTGCCCTTGGTCCTCCATGGAACCAGAGAGAGTTCCCGTGGCTCCACCTGCCGGCCAGCGTCCACTGCCGTCGGGGCCCGGGGTTTTGGCTCTAATAGGAGTGTGGTGAGAGCTCACTGTTGGATGAGTCTGCATCTCCCTGGTGACGTGATTTGCCACTTGCGTACCTTTGTAACGAGGTGTTCGCCGAGGCCTGTGGCCCGTATTTTTATTTTCAGGATCATGTATTTTCTTGCCGTGGCGTTGTGAATTCTTAGTGGCGTTTGGGCCACCATCCTGCCTCAGACAGGCCTTCCTCAAACACCTCCTCCCGTCCCATCTTCCCTTTTCTTGACAGCGGCTCCCACGCGCAGACATTTTTAGCTTTGATGAAATCCAGATGGTCAGTTCTTCTCAGGGACCGCATCTGAAAGGTCACTGCCAGGCGCAAGGCCAGGTGGGCATCCTGTTGTCCTCCACGAGTTTGTGTTTCACGTTTGGGTTGGGGCCCCGTTGAGTCAGCTTTTGTGGAAGGTGGGAGGTCTGTGCAGATTGAGTGGTTTTGTGCGTGGCCGTCCGGGGTTCCAGGACAGTTGGTGGCAAAAGCTGCCTGTTCTCCACCTTATCGCCTTTACCCCTTTTGTCAGGAAAGAGCGTCGATGGCACTGGTGTGGCTCCCTCCCGTCCAGTGTCTTCTCCACCCCTATCACACGGTCCCGCCCCCCAGCCCCCCGTCTCTGCTCTCCCTTCAGTATCACACTGGTGTGGCTCCCTCCCGTCCAGTGTCTTCTCCACCCCCATCACACGGTCCCCCCACCCAGCCCCCCGCGTCTGCTCTCCCCTACAGTATCACACTGGTGTGGCTCCCTCCCGTCCAGTGTCTTCTCCACCCCTATCACACGGTCCCCCCACCCAGCCCCCCGCGTCTGCTCTCCCCTACAGTATCACACTGGTGTGGCTCCCTCCCGTCCAGTGTCTTCTCCACCCCTATCACACGGTCCCCCCACCCAGCCCCCCGCGTCTGCTCTCCCCTACAGTATCACACTGGTGTGGCTCCCTCCTGTCCGGTGTCTTCTCCACCCCTATCACACGGTCCCGCCCACAGTCTCTGTAATACCCCCCCCCCAGCCCCCCGCGTCTGCTCTCCCCTACAGTATCACACTGGTGTGGCTCCCTCCCGTCCAGTGTCTTCTCCACCCCTATCACACGGTCCCGCCCACAGTCTCTGTAATACCCCCCCCCAGCCCCCCGCGTCTGCTCTCCCTTCAGTATCACACTGGTGTGGCTCCCTCCTGTCCGGTGTCTTCCCCACCCCTATCACACAGTCCCGCCCAAGGTCTGTAATACCCCCCCCCAGCCCTCCACCTCTGCTCTCCCTTCAGTATCACACTGGTGCTCAGGGACCCTTTGCCTTTATAAACCGTAGCAGCAGTTTGTCGCTGTCCACAGAATAACTCGCTGAGGTCTCGGTTCCTTTGCATTGAACCTACACGGAGGTGGGAGGAACGACGCCTCGAAGGTGCAGGTCTTCCTGTCCATGACCGGGAACGTGGGACATCTCCTCACTCGGCTCCTTGGTTTCTTTCATGGGCGTGTGCTGGTGTCCTCATGGAGATCTTACGCACAGTTTGTTAGATTTGCTGCCACGTATGCCATCTTTGTGTGTGTGTGTGTGTGTGTGTGTGTGTGTGTGTGTGCTAATGAAAATGGCAGTGTTTTCATCTCAGATTCCACTTGGTCATCGCTATGCATAGGAAAGCGACCAACTTCTGTGTGTCGGGCACGTATCCTGCAACCTTGGCCGAACTGCTTATCAGCTCCAGCAAGGTGGGGTGGGTGTCGGTTCCCCTGTATTTTCTGCAGGGCGAGCATACATCGGAAAACATGTTTCTCCTTGCCTAACTGTGTGCTTTAATGCGTTGAGCAGGATTTCAGTGCAGCGTGGGAACTCAGTGGTGGGAGACAGGCTTGCCCTGTGCCCACTCCGGTGGGAAGCTTCCGGCGCCTCACAGTCAAGTCGGAGATGAGGTGTGGAGGTGGACAGATCTCCTGGACCAAGTCGCGGGATTTCTCTCCCATTCTCACCAACAGGGTGACCGTCGTGACTGGGAACCGGGTTTTGTCACATTTTTTTCTGCATTTGTTGGTGTGATTATGAATTTTTTCCTATTTTCCTGTTGATGCAATGGAATTCATGAACTGGTGTCCAGTCTTGGCGCCCGCCGGGCGGAGGTGTGTAATTCTGCGCTTTGTTAGATTCAGTTGGCCGGTGTTGAGGACTTTTATGCCCTGGTCCCTGGGGGCCCTTGGCCTGTGGCTCCCTGGGTTGCATCGTCTGCGTCTGCCGTTGGCAATGGGTAGTGCTGCTCGCATTCTGTTCTCTCGGCTCCCGCCTCTGGAGGTTTCGTTTGCTCGGGGCTGTGTGCCCGGCTGAGCCGTGGTTCCTGTGTTCACTCGCCTGTGCCTGCAGCTGGGGGACTGAGGTTTTCCCTGCGACCCCACTTCCTTTGCTGATTTCCAGTTTTGTTTGATTTCTGCTTGTCGTCGAGACGGTGACGACTCCCAGGCTTCTTACGCGTCAGGCCTGCTGGACGTTTTTAACGGGACTTTGAAATCCTCTGCGAGGGTCCGTCGCAGACCCGGCCCTGCCGTCGCGGTCCTGGGCCCACGGCCGACTCGTAATCCACGCTAGCGAGCGGGAGCGGGGTCTGGCGGCAGACTGGGCGCACCGCGTTGGCGGCTGCTGCACCGAGCGACTTTCCTCCCTCGGGCTTCATTGTTGTCACGTCTGCTGGGGCGTCCTGGAGCCCGCACGCCGAGTCGTCTCTTCCTTGGTGGCCACGGGAGCTCCGGCTGTGGCCTGGAAGCTGTTCCTGGTCTCGGAGGGGAGGGCGTTGCCGGAGCGAGTCTCGTGGGTTCTTTCCCTCAGCCTAGGGTAGGAACAAGAAGCCAGGAAACAGTTTGCAAACAGGCAGAGACCTCAGCACGGTGCCGGGCGGCGGTGAGACCCCGTCCCGCTCCTGATCTTGGGGCACACGTTGCTGTCGCGCCAGGACGTGTGCTGACGCTTGCCAGGGATGCCGTAGCCATGGTATCCACCACAGCCTGAGCACCACGCGTGCTACTGCGAATGCCCAGACAGACGCTTTGTGCACACCTTGGGGGCTTGGGGAACGGCCGTCCCCCCTCGGCCCACCAGCTGGCACCCAGCGCCCAGCTCCTCCCCTCCCCGCCCAGGGCCAGCCCGGCCGCCGCCCTGGCTGTCAGGGTGCTCACCTCACCACATCGCCGGGTCTGGCCGGGTTGGTGGCGAGGAGGACCCAGGTGGCCCGCGGGGCGGCTCATGGACCCCGAAGGCTCCGTTTCCAGGACACCGTGCTGGCTCCTGGGGGCCCCGTCACCTGGCTGGCAGCGGGAGGGCGGCCCCGCGGGTGTCCCGGGGACTGCCCTGAAAGCCCTCGGCCCGGCTGTTGTCCGCGTCACTGAACGGCGCCCTGTGATACCCCAGAACTTCATCGAGACCGACAACGAGGGCAACGGCATCCTGCGGCGCCGGGACATCAAGAACGCCCTGTACGGCTTCGACATCCCGCTCACGCCGCGCGAATTCGAGAAGCTCTGGCAGAGGTGAGTGGCGTCTGGAGGCCGCGACTGCCTTCCCGTCTGGCAGTCGCGGGTCCCTTGGGGCAGCAAAGCCGGGGGACACGGGGGCTCCGGGTGGGCTCCCGTCCCAGGTCCTGTGTCTCCTTCCTCGTTCCACCTTCCCCGGGGCAGGCTGCGTGGGGGACAGGCAGCCGCAGGGGACAGGCAATGTGGGAGACAGGCAGCGTGGGGGACAGGCAGCTGTGGGGGGCAGGCAGCGTCGGGGGCAGGCAGCTGTGGGGGACAGGCAATGTGGGGGACAGGCAATGTGGGGGACAGGCAATGTGGGGGACAGGCAATGTGGGGGATAGGCAGCTGTGGGGGGCAGGCAGCGTGGGGGGCAGGCAGCCGTGGGGGGCAGGCAGCGTGGGGGGGCAGGCAGCGTGGGGGGCAGGCAATGTGGGGGGCAGGCAATGTGGGGGACAGGCAGCGTGGGGGATAGGCAGCTGTGGGGGGCAGGCAATGTGGGGGACAGGCAGCCGTGGGGAACAGGCAGCCATGGGGGACAGGCAATGTGGGGGACAGGCAATGTGGGGGACAGGCAGCTGTGGGGGACAGGCAGCCGTGGGGGACAGGCAGCCGTGGGGGGCAGGCAGTGTGGGGGACAGGCAGCGCGGGGGGGCAGGCAGCGTGGGGGACAGGCAGCTGTAGGGGACAGGCAGCCGTGGGGGACAGGCAGCTGTGGGGGGCAGGCAATGTGGGGGACAGGCAGCCGTAGGGGACGGGCAGGCAGCGTGGGGGGCAGGCAGCTGTGGGGGGCAGGCAGCATGGGGGACAGGCAGCGTGGAGGACAGGCAGCTGTGGGGGACAGGCAGCCGTAGGGGACGGGCAGGCAGCATGGGGGGCAGGCAGCGTGGGGACAGGCAGCATGGGGGGCAGGCAATGTGGGGACAGGCTGGCCTCCAAGAACCTGGGAAGCGGCAGGTGTAACAGCACTTGTCGCCTGTCCTGAGGACCGAGGAGGCGGAGCCGTGCTTGCACTGTCTCTCTCCAGAGGCTGAGCCCTGGGGCCCTCGGTGAGCAGGACAGGCTCCTCCCACAGCCCGAGGGCGGCAGTCAGCCGGGTCATTTGCCAAGAAGGAAACAGCCAAGCTCGGTAACGTGGAGGGTGACCAGGGTCTCTGAAGCTGAAACAGGGTGGGCGCTGGTTTCGGGTTCCGAGCTGTGCTTCACGCGGGGCTGGTTTGGGTCAGCCCCCGCGTGGACGTCCTGTTTCATGGCGCATGGCGGCTCCGTGCGGTTCCAGGTTCCAGGTCCTCCCCGGCCCTGCTTCCTTCTGCGTCATGTGTTGGGGGCCACGCGCGCTCCCCCGCACGGGAGCCGGCGTTGCCCGTCCACGCCCACGCCGGAGGCGCGCTCACGGCGCCGTTCCTGGCATTTCTTAGCTTTGCCTCCACTGCGGTGTCGGCCGAGTTTAGTGTTCAGTGGCTGCCATGCGTCTGATGTAGAAAAGCTCCTGGAAGTCTCACACATCCCTTGTTTTCGAGGGTCCAGGCTGGACTCCCTGTCCAGTCTCCTCTGCAGATCGAACGTGGAGCTCCGTGCGGCCCTCCTGCCCTGTAGCCTCCCGGGCAAGGCTCCAGGCTCGGTGTCAGGGGCTGCCCGGGCAGGGCCGTGTTCTCAGGGACGCCCGGGGCTCGTGCTGCCCGGGTGCTCTGAGCACGTCCAGTGGCCTATGAGTTGAACACGGGAACCCTGGGGCCACAGGGTCACAAAGCTGTCGGGATGGGGTGATGATGAGCTGGGATTTGAGGGGGTCAGGGACCCGGCAGGGGTGCATGGTCCGCAGTGAGGCGGGGCAAGGCTGGCACGCTCTCCAAGCTCCTTGTTGGGGGCGTGGAGAGCCTGGCACTGGGAAGCCGTGGAAGGTGGGCGGTGCTGTGATGTGAACCGAGCCTGGTTTGGGAAGTGGGGTCCGGCCACAGGTCGGGCAGGGGTGTGGGTGTGGTTTGGGAGAGCGCCACCTCCGTCATGGTGCAGGCAGTCCCTGAGCCAGACGCTGGGGCTGTGGGTCCCCCCGTGGAGGGGGAGGGTGGAACAGAACCCGTTCCCGTTTTGGCTGGAGGTGGACACCCTGTTGCCATGGTGAGAGTCTTCACACATCTGCGTCCATGGGGGTGGAACGCACAGATCTGGCCCTGTGCTGAAAACCACGTGCAGTCCGCGTCCGGTGGGCTGCGGTCGGGTTGACCTCACGCCCTACGGATGGCAGGGCAGCTCTGCAGCTGGAGGCGAGGGCCTGAGTCCTGCCCCACGCCTTACCCCACGCCCTGCCCCATGCCCTGCCGCGTGTCCTGAGCCACGCCCTGCTGCGTGGCTCATCTGCCATTGGGGCTGTCCCACTGGGGTGCCTGCAGGGGGCACCCAGGCCCCCGTGTGCAGAGAGCCTGGCTGTGCTTGGAATCCAAGGCCACGGGCGGGGGGGGGAGTCCGGCGCGGTGTGAGGGTTCCGCCCCCTCCCTGCACTCGGTCCCTCCCTGTCCAGTCCCAGGAACCCCCTGCTGGGGTCACCTCGGTGCCCTTTGGGTCCTTCTGTGACCGTGCTTTCCCTCGTCTCTGGGCGAAAGGACGCAGCTCCCCGCGAGCGCTGCAGGTCCGTGCCTGCCGTCCTGGTGTTACCGCCTCGCACGGGCAACTTCCCTTAGGAGCGTTGCCCGCTGCACTGACACTTTGAAAACCAAATGGGTATTGATTTGGGATTTTCTTAGTCGCTTGTTTTTCAACTGTTCAGATTCTGCTAAAATACATAGTGTGTGAAATTCACCTGCATAGCACGCCGCTCAGTTGTGTTTTAAAAGGTTTGTTTTAAAAAGTTGTTTTAAAAGATTTGTTTGTTTAGGGCCGGCACTGTGGTGTAGTGGGTAAAACCACCACCTGTAGTGCCAGCATCCCATATGGGCACCGGTTCAAGTCCTGGCTGCTCCTCTTCTGCTCCAGCTCTCTGCGATGGTCTGGGGAAGCAGCAGCAGATGGCCCAAGTGCTTGGGCCCCTGCACCCATGTGGGAGACCTGGAAGAAGCTCCTGGCTCCTGGCTTTGGATTGGCTCAGCTCCGGCCGTTGTGGCCATTTGGGGAGTGACCCAACGGATGGAAGACCTCTCTCTCTCTCTCTCTCTCTCTCTCTCTCTCTGCCTCACCTTCTCTGTCTGTGTAACTCTGACTTTCAAATAAAAAAAGATTTATTTGTTTAAAAGTCAGAATGGAGAGCCGGCGCTGTGGCTCAATAGGCTAATCCTCCACCTTGCGGCGCCGGCACACCGGGTTCTAGTCCCGGTCGGGGCGCCGGATTCTGTCCCGGTTGTCCCTCTTCCAGGCCAGCCCTCTGCTGTGGCCAGGGAGTGCAGTGGAGGATGGCCCAGGTGCTTGGGCCCTGCACCCCATGGGAGACCAGGAAAAGCACCTGGCTCCTGGCTCCTGCCATCGGATCAGCGCGGTGCGCCGGCCGCAGCGCGCCAGCCGCGGCGGCCATTGGAGGGTGAACCAACGGCAAAGGAAGACCTTTCTCTCTGTCTCTCTCTCTCACTGTCCACTCTGCCTGTCAAAAAAAAAAAAAAAAAAGTCAGAATGGCAGAGAGAGAGAGATTCCACATGTTGGTTAACTCCCCAGCATTTTTTGGCCAAAACAGCTAGGTCTGGGCCGGCCAAAGCCGGGAGCCCGGGACTCCCTCCGGGTCTCCTGCGTGGGTGGCAGAGGCCCGAGCACTTCCTGGGAGCTTTCAGCTGGGAGCTGGGTCAGAACTGGAGCCACTGGGCCTGGAGCCAGCACTCCAGCATGGGATGCTGCCACCTTAGCCCACACGCCGCGGTGCCGGCTGCTGCATCCATCACCGTCACCACCAACCGTCACCACCATCCGTCTCCACGGCCCTTGCCATCTGTGACACCAACGCTTTACTGTGACTTTTACGCTGAGTTAATTGGGCGACGTGTTGGTCAGGGTAGGCCCATGGGGCTGGCGTCTCTGTGGCTCCCCACAAATGACAGCAGGATCTAGGGTGGGGTGGGGGCAGCTCCACCCCAGGACCATTCAGGAACCAGCCGTCCCACCACCCCCGGGCCTTTGGCTTGGCCTGTGGAGAGCGGTCAGGGCCAGGCCTGGAAACATGGCCGTCGCTGTGCTCAGGTTCTGTTAGGCAGAATCCATTCGGGTGCGAGGGGGCCTGGGAGAAGCGGTCTGCACACCAGGAAGGAAGAGAGAGCAGGGAGCTGGGGACGGCGTCTTTCACACAGGGGACTTCCCTGGGTGGGGGAGGGGCAGGGTGTCAGCACCCAGGCCAGAAAACAGGAAGCAGGAAGGGGGTGGTGGCCGAGGCATGGGAAGGGCCGCAAGTCTGGAAAGCCACCGCTGCAGGGGCTGGCAGAGCTGGAGACGGGGGCGGGCCACCCCAGGGCTGGAAGCTGCGCCCCCACCCAGTGCTGGGGCCCACAGCCCGCCCGGCCAGGTGCCGCTGGTGCCGTGGTGGAAGCCGCCAGGGTTCCAGCCGATGCGCTGAGCAGAAGCCGTGACCACTGCCCCCACTGGAGATGCCCCAGGCAGCAGCGCAGCTCTGCCTGCTCCACCTTCGGGGGGGGGGGGGCATCCTGGGAGCAGCTCCCTGAACAGCAAGGGAGGGGCCGCAGTCCAAGACAGCTGCGTGGGGGCGGGGGAGGGAAGGCTGGCAGCGGGAGCAGCCAGGAGGAGGCAGCAGGGTGGCGGGAGGGGGCAGGACACGGGGACCTCGTCACGAAGGCCACAGGTTACTCGGGAAGCCGCCCGCACAGGCCAGCATTCTAGAAGGTCGTCCTGGCACGGGCAGGCGGAGGCCTGAGGAGCTGGGCCACCGCGTGTTCCCAGCAGAGGAGCCGTGAGCGTCCTGGTGGTGCAGGACTGGAAGTGAGGGTGGGGACGGTTTGGGAGGTGCGGGGGGTGAGGATGAGCGGCCTGGCAGGCGAGGTGTGGGGGGAGGGGACGGGTGCTTCCGGGGTCCGTGCCGGTGGCCCGGGCA